CAAATTGCTACAAAATATTTGGCAATGTAACTAGTTTTATTATAAAGCTTAAGCGAGATATAAGAAGCAAGAAAAATTTGAGATTTTTTTAAACTTGCTTGAACGGTTTCATATTAAACCAATAATCTTCATTTGCCTTTGGGAACAGAGTATCATTAACAGCAGCACGACTCTATAGCCTAGTTGTGTGCTTACCCAAAAGTTTCCATCTTCTCTTAAAATTCGCAAGCAGTTTTAGCAGCACGTTGCACTTCACAGTTAAATATTTAGTTAAGAGAGAAATTAACCAAATTAAATGCATTACTTTATAAACAATAAACTAAAAACTAACCTAAAACAATTTAACAACAACAACTTTTCACGTGCACTATTTCAAAAGTCAACTTCGCCCTTAATCTCTTAAGATTCCATTCAAACGCATTACTTCATAACTTCGTATATATGTTATATGTGTGTATCTGCCTTATAAATAACAATTTGTTTGGGGCGCACAATAAATTTGTAATCATAAATATCAATTATTTTGCAACGAGATTTTCGTGCGGACAGGCAGGGCATTCAGCCAGATTAGTGCGTCACGTGGCCATCTCTAGCTGGAGATTTCGAATTGTGGCTACAGGTTTGTTTGCGCCTCTCTTCAGTTCTGATACCCTTATACAGGGTATTATGATTGTAGCATAAGATGTGTAACGTGTGGAGGAAGAAGTATACGTTCCCATAAGTTATAGCTACCCTTGATTTAAGCGTGAAAACTTGGCTCTCAGTTTTATATATCTATCTGTTATCTGTATATATATACGGACTAGATCGGTGCACTTTATCATATTCTTTTATTTTAACTTATTTTGCAAAGTCCTATTAACAACGAATTTCTACATTATATAATAGATTTTGTAGATTTTGAAAGAAAAGGTCGCATCATGTTTTTTTGATTAGATATCATATTATGTATTATATTCTAAATTTTATATATATTTAGCTCTATTGAAAGAAATATTATATTTTGTTATATATAATATACCAAATTGTATATATAATTAATAATTAATTGAAAAATGATAATCTTTTAAGCAAAACTTGTCTGTTTTTTAAATTGAATATTAACCATCTTCCTTATGCCTCATATCTTAGTTGCAGCAATCATTAGCTTCATTAGCTCAGACTAATGCCTCCTAGGGACACAATAGGTCGGAGAAGGCTTCTCTTTTCACATTTTTGCAAGGGTATTCAATTTTCGGCGTGCCGTGGTTAGACGTGTTTTCTTGTGTTTTATTTTTCTGCTTTTTTTTTTTTGGCTTTAACTTTGGCTGGTGCGACTGACCAAAGCGATGGATTCGACGGGAGTCTCGGGACTAGCCTCTGACACCGACACCACGAGACGATGCGGAATGGAGCGAAACGGCAACAACAGCAACAACAACAACAACAATGTAACTTGCTGTAACAGCAACAACAATAACAACAACAACAACAACAACATTGCTGCGCTGTTAGTATAAATTCTCGCCTTTCATTTTGGCGAGTAGTCACGATTTATGCGAAATCATTATAGGCGAGTTTTTAGTATTTACGACGCGACTTTTATCTGCAGCACAAGGAAGAAGACACAACACACAGACCACAACAGCAACAACAATATATATGTATATATATATATATGTTGTGTACACTATAATTGCAGCTGAGTCAATTAAATACATAGATTGCGGCATGTCGATAAGGCATTAACCTTCCCCACGGCTCAAACACGGCTTGGCAGGCTTTTTGGCCTTAGCTGTTGCCTTTTCTCCTACAAAATGGCAGGTCATTTCACTTAGTCAAAAAGTGAGGGCCACAAAGAAAGAAAGAAAGGCCCAGCCAAGTGGCATGCCCCAAACGCAGTCGACTTCGCCGTCGCCGTCGCCGTCGCGTCGCAGTTTAAGTAGCGCAACAATTTATGAAGACATGAAATGACTTTGATGTTTAGCTGCTGCACTAGGGAAGACTTTCCTCTCCGCCCCGCTGCCACTTCATGACTTGCAAAAGTTAAGTTAACTTAACTTTAAAAAAAAAATAAAAAAAATTTAGCAATTTGTAATTGACAAACTGTTTTTGGGATCGTGTCTTGGCCCAAAGGTAAACAGACTGAAACGACGCGGAAATGATTGAATTGTAGATAACTTTATAATTGTCTCTCGAGTCAAGTTTCGAGTCACAAGAAGAACGGCAGGTAGAAAATATCTTGTGCAGCAGATTTAAAACTCTTCAAGAATACGAAAAGTCAACTCATATACACAGCTTGACATGAATACAAGACAGTGAACGCTCGCTAAGAAATAAAACGAATGCATGTATACTCTATATAATTATTTATGGAGGGCTATTCAATATGTTATTCCTTAATTTTTTTAATTTCCGTTCAAGTTTCACATAAAATTAATTAAAGACTCATGTTTGATCATTTTTCACAAAACAACAATTTTTCTTTTTCGATTTCAGGTTTACGAAAACCTCAAATTAACTGGCTGCAAAAGTTGTTTTTCTCGATTTGCTGTCGTTTTCACTGGTTCATTAGCCAACAATTAAGCAACAGTTACGAAAATAAGGAAAAACATTAAGAGTACCGTTTGACCTATAGAAGAATCTGTGGCCAAGAGATATTTCTATAACAATGTTGGCAACATTTAGCCAAAGAGAAAAGAAATGCGAATACTTCTCTATAGGAATTTCTAGAAATCCAATTAAAAGGCAATTTCCAAGCATTTGAACTATTTAAAGTAAAGTTGTTTTATTTTAATATTATGCAAAGAAATACTTCTTTCTCATTTGCTGGAAATGTCTGCATTTACATAGCCCCCATTTCCCATTAGAATAGAAGAAAAGCTGCTGAGCGAAAATGCAGCTAAGAGGCTTTTCTTGCACATGCCCTGAGCCCAGGGTCCATTTGCCTGACCAAGTTTTGCCACCTGAGAAACAGAGCAAGACTTTCACTACAACGACCACATAATGAGAGGAGGCGGGAGGAGAGAGAGAGGCTAACCTTAATACCCCAAAAGAAAAACACTTCACACCCAGACATTGAGTCAGTTTGTCAGTCAATGGGCAGAGGCCCGGGCAGCATTAACATTAACATGGACATCAAGCTCAAGAGTGTGTAATCAACACTTTTATGTGATCCAAATCCAATTCACAACTAATTACAAGCATCGGAGCGCTCGCAATTAACGACGGGCATTAAAAGGCGCGTTGAAAAGGCAAATGAGCCGATTGCGATGCGATTTCGATTGTTTATTTAGTTGGCTATCGAAGTGAGGAGGCAGGGACAGGGGCTAAAAAACTGGGCTACAAATTGGAGGACTGCTGAATCGATGGGTTTATTGTTGTTTTAGTTTGTTTTCGCTTTGATTGAACAACATCGAAACTAAATCGATTGCACTACATTCCAAATGGAGACGTAAATCAATGGACACGCATAGATTACAACCCAAAAAGCTGAGCAGCCAGCACAATTAGAGCTGAGTACTGCGTTGTAGTCGAGGCCGAGGCCCGTGCCCGTGCCCAGGCGCAGGCCCATGTCCGGAGCTAGCAAAGTGGTTTTTCCGGCAAACGTGTTGGAAATTAAAGCAACGCCGCCGGACAATAAGGCACCGCCGCCAAGGCAGCGCCCAGGCGACAGTATTAGGCATTAGAGATGAGCAATGCTTACAAGTGAATGCGATAAGTTGGAATTGCGATAGCGATTCTTCTATGCGGTATTCTCTCCAAATTTGATCAAAGCAAGGCGTTCTTATGTTTTGGGACGCCACTGTAGTAGTCCAAAGCAATTGAAAATTAACAATAACGTTTGTTTGCAGTTATTCAAAGTGCTGCCAGATTGTTACAGCACGTTTAAATGCGCATCTCTAACAAGTGCACATAGATTTTATCGCATGTGTGTGTCTGTGTGTGTGTGTTTGTGCATGTGCCCGTAAGTAGTTTTGTTTATTTACACTTGTTTCCGTCTTTCGCCTGCGTCTACGTTTTTGAGTGTATTTTTTAAGTAAGCGATTAGTTCTGCAGTGGGAGAGACAATAAAAATTTGTCAGTTGACAAAAACAAAACGATTTCCAAATGAGACATACGAGGCATACACAAGTGGGCAGGCCCGCTCTGTCAATGTATTGGAGAAATAACAGCCAAATCAACGACACTCATACATGCACACACACAGGCCACACACTCAAGCAGAGATAGACACTCAATGATTGTTATTAGTACATTTGCCTTGGAGTATGTACATCTAATTTGCCATTGATGTGTGCATTAAGTTTTGCATTTGTATTGGTAGGCATACAAATTGTCGTAAAACATTAGTGTCCCCCGAGATTAGAGCGGCGACACAGGCGGGCGCGGGCTGTTGTAGATAGGAAAAAGGCTGGCTCATCGCCCTTTTATTTGACATAGGCAATATTTATTGCGAATTCATTTTAATGTAGAAGAAGCAAACTAAACGCAGGCAGACAAGCTTACGCGCGCACACATACGCACACACACAAATTTACGCAGAGGCTTTCTGACAAAGCGAAATGCCGAAATACGCCATCAAAATAAATAAAAACAACGCACACACACACACACGCACACTCATGCAAGCACAGAGACGGCAACGCAAAAGCTACGAATTTCAGTAGCACAGCATTCGGCGCTGAGCGCGTGAGAGTAAGCGAATAAGCGTACGTAAAGGACAGAGAACAAGAGGGAGAGATTCACAGCATAGACAGAGCGCAGCAGCAGCAGCGGCCGCGGCAGAGGGTTAGTTTAGCGTCCCACCCAAACGTCATGAAATCCTTTGTGTATTGTGTGCGTGCGTGCGTGTGTGTGTGTCGCGTTTGTTTGTCAACTAGCCAACGGCGACATAAAAATGCTAATACAAAAACTCCAACAAATTGTTGTTTTTGTTGTTGCCTCATCTCGTCGTCTGCTTTTGCATTTCCTTAACACCTACAAATTGAGTCTGGCAACGCAAAAATGGCCACACTTACCGTTTAGTCGCGCACAGTCTAGGTAAATAAAAAGTGCCGCTAATCCAAATGTGTTGCCAAACTGCACAAAATTAAAACACACACATGCACACATATAAATAGCTGCAGACACCGTTATAAACACATTCAAAATGCCGTCTGCACTTGCTGAAACTTTTTGTATATATTTGTATTGCGCTTTTATATTTCGATTTATATTTTGCTTCTTCTTTTATTTAATTTTATTTTTCTTTTTGTGTGCTGCGCGTCGCGAACGAAATTCAGGAATTTCAAGTGGAAATCTTGTTTGAGCACTTTTTTTGACGGCGACGACGACCTGCGACGGCGACGGCGACGGTGGCGTCGGCGTCGGCGTTGTTGTTAGCGGCAAAGCTGAGAAAACTTTTATTTTGCACAACTACAAAACTTAGTTAGAATTTAGCTTTTAGTTTAATTGCTTGCAAAACGCGCGCGCGCCTAAATTAAATGCATTCAACTCAAGCAAGTTTCATTCAGAAAGTTCTCTGTTTGGCGCGTTCAAGCAGTGTTTTAATTTAGCGTTTTCAATTTCTTTTTATTTCGATTTTCTGCACTTAAACCTCGTTCGTGGTTTAAGATCGCGTACAACCGTCGAACCGACCGCACGCTTCAACGACAAATTTCACAATAACAAAATGTTAACAGCTGCTATTAGCATTTCATTTGTCGTTTAACAGACGCTGTTAAAGTTTGAGAGAGCAATGCGTTGTTGAGAGCGCTCAGCCGCTAGAAAAACGCGCGCGCTGAAGAAAAGACGCGTGCAAAACGCAGTGTGCTGCTACGTTTTTCTACATAGCAACATGCGCTCACCCTGTATGCGCTCTAGCAACTTGTAAGCGGCTGGTGCTTTACAGTGACTGACAATGTTAAGCACGAGCAACTGTTATTGACTTAAATGCGCTGTTAACGTAACTATGTGCGTTCACAATAACAACAAGCGCTGCCAGATGTTTGACACTGTGAACATAAACTGCAACTTTAACTAATTTAAGTTTATTTTGAACTAAACATTAATAATTGAATTAAAATTGTTTTTTTATGCTGCAATGCAATTTGTTAAAATGCTCTGTCTGACATGTTAGCTATGCCGAGTGTGTTGTTTTTACTCTTACATAGACTGGCAACTCCTATTGTCCTCCAATTGGCGCGCACGTGACAATTTGAAACTATTGCGGATTAGCCAAAAAAAAATGGGAAAAAAGGCAATGTGCAAGTCAAAAACAACAAAACGTAGGTAAATTGTGCAGACACGCCTGCAAAAAAATTGTTCCTCTTGAACTTAAATTTAGCAGACGCCATTTCCTGTGAGTATTTGTTGCTATTCTAGCTGTACCCGGGCGCTTCCGTTTCATATATTTATTTTTTTTATTCTTTTTTTTTTGAAAATTTTACTGGTCACGTTTATTAATCGGCTTAAATTTTCGTTCGGGCTGCGCAAATGCCACGCACTTAACTGTCGGGCACGTAGCCTGCACCTATTGTCATCAGATCGGGCATCTGGGCCGTCGCCAGGCGCTCTAATCATGACTTATTGTTGTGGAGAGGGTAGTTTATGAATCCAATTAGAAAACGTTTCTGATTTCGTATAGACACCCAGCCAATTCTATCCCATCCTCAAAAAACTTGACCGAACAAGGCCGGGTAATCTAAATGCTGGTTCCCAAGGAAAGAACAAGTTAGTTTTCGCATGCATCTGTGCATCTAAGTATGTGTGAACATATATATACATATATGTGTGTGTATGTATGTACATATTTATTTAGTACACACATACATATATATGTCTGAAGCTATGTAAATGTGTATGTGTGTTCTCTCATTGCAAAGGAGGACCAAGTCCTTCACTTTTTGTATGTTTGTGTGCATGTGTAAGTATGTATTTATGTGTGTATGTATTTCTGTGTGTATGTGTGTATGTCTGTATATATTTATATATACTCTCTTATACCAAACGCACCCTAAGTTTACTTTAAGCTTTCAATAACTTCTCCTGTAAATTAAATAAAACGTATTTAATAATAGAGCCCTCCTATGCGATTCTCATGAATTTAAGGTCTTCTGGCCAAAATGGTTAGTTTTGTGTTATATAAACAAGTTTGTTGGTATTCTACCAAGGTGTTTATTTATGTATGAACGTGTGTATGTGTGTATGTATGTATGTATGTATGCATGTGTGTATGCATGTATATATCTATGTATATAAGTGTGTATGTATGTATGCATATGTGTATGTACATATGCATGTGTAAATGCGTACATGTATATATGTATGTATGCATATACATACATAAATAAAAATGTACATATGTATAAGCGTATGTATATGTGTATGTATGTATGTGTGCATGTACGGATAAGTGTATGTAGGTGTACGTATGTATGTATTATGTGCATAATACATACAGACACATACGTAGGTGTGTATATGTGTGTATGCATGTAAGCAGATGGGCGAGTATGTACATGTATATGTACGCATGATTCTAATGAATGTACGAATGTATTTAACATACATGCATGTAGGTATGTATTCATGCACATTAATGTTCTTTCATACCCAACACTCACAATTAAAAAAAAAACGCCCTACTACGCGATTCTCATGAATCGAAGTATGTATGTTATATGTATGATTTTACAGCAATTTTACAGATGTTACTCAGAAAATATTTTATTTTTGTTGTTGTCGTCAAATACTAATTAGTTTTTATTATAACATAATTATTATTTAATATAGCTACAAAATAGTATTCGTTTATAACTAGCGCTAATCAAGTCTAAAAAAGCAAGCAGATATGTGATCATCAGAATTATTCATATATATATATGCATATATGTATGTATATATATATATATATAAGTGTGTGTGTGTGTATTATATGTACGATACGATATTAGTCATTAAATCACAGATGTATTATTATTTTGCGCACACTGCTCCGCATCGCCGACGCCGGGCGTCTGATCCGGCGGCTCCGCATTGAGCACCAGATTCTCAATCGAACGGAATGAGGCATCCTCCAAATGTGTGGACATGGCAGGCGGACGGGGTAGCGTTGTGGCAATGCCAACACCCTGCCGTGGCGGCGGCCGATGGCGCACTGAGGACCGCAATATGGTCACCACATCCTCGGCCGTATATGGACGCTGCGGCTGCTGCTGCTGCTCCAGCGTAGACGTCGCCGAGGCAGGTCGCTGCAGCTTGCGGCCCAGCGACTGTGAGCGCTGCGCATAGCCAGCTGGACGCTGGCCAATCTCAATGGATTCGGGACTGCTGCTGGCAACGGATGAAGCACCGCCCGCACCTCCACCCGCGCCAGAACACGAAGGATTCGTTAGTATGCTCAGATAATCGGGCGGTGCGGCTGGTGAAGGCGACTCAGCGTCCAGAGAGAGTATGGGACGTGTGCGACTAGACGAATCGCCGAGAACTCTAAAATAATATTATACATTAAATCTCACGGGTTTTATATAACTAAATATTTAGCTTTACCTGCGCACACTGCGTCGTATGCTCTGGCGCAACAATTTGGCCAGACGCGCACCCGTGGCCGTTGTATAGGATGGTGGCGGCGTGTACTTGGGCGGCGCATCATTTTGTACGTCATGCTGTACACTCTCCTGCTGCTGCGTTGCCGCATTGCGACGCGCCTGTGCGGTCCTTTGGCGCGCTGAAGATGGACGTAGCGGCTCATCGCCCTCCTGAGGCGGACGATACAAATGTTGAATGCGCTGAAAGCAAACAAAAAATATGATGATGATTGGAATTAAGTTTGTAAACGGATAACACGCACCTCGAGTATATCCGGTGGGCCGTTGGTCAAGTAGCGATAGATCTGCACAATGGCCGTGACGGGTATGATGAGCACAATGCCAATTTGTATGAGGCTGCCCATTTTGCGGCTCCAGTAGCTGAAGTAGGACTTGCCGCGCCAGTAATAGAACTGATTGGACAGCGAGGCCTTGTAGTCAATCACTGAGAGCGTTATCAGTCCAATGGGCAGCAGTACATTCCAGGAGAGCGCCAAGAATGCGGACATCGAGCCGCACATGCGCAAATCGTTGACCAGATCGTCGCCATTGTAGGGCCGACCACGTATGAGAAAGACGCCAAAGATTTGCGCTGCCCAAATGATGGGTATGAACCAGGAGCCGCCAAGCAAAAAGTCCACATAATACAATATGGATATGCCCATCTCGGTGGCAAACGGTATGCTCAACAGCAGCCCGGTGACGCAGCTGAGTAGCACCGAGCTCGTCGAGTTGCCCAGCGCACTCGATATGGGCTTCCACATGACGCACAGCTGGGCGAGTCCGAAGCCCGCGAACATGCCAAAGGCAACAGCCGCCCAGATCCATGAGATGACATCGCTGGCCAGCGACAGGACGGCTGGTAAGAGTTCCGTAATGAAGCGCAACGCCTGAAAGCCGCTCTCAATATGCAATATGGTCTTGTTGCGGCGATAGGTCTCGCCCAGAAACGAGGAATAGTGCGGCACCAGCGCACGCGGATACGACAACAGCTGCGGATTCGTGTGCGCCTGCAGCGAATATACGGACGTGTAACAATCCGGCGTCTCTGTAAGTTGCAACAATTAATGTTTTTAAGCCGAAACTAAAAATGGGAATCATCGGTTGCATACCAAACGAGCCGGGCACATAGATGTAGCCATGTTGGCGCAGTATCTGTGCACAGCAGAGCGCCAGCAGCGCCACCAGGCTCAAGCCGAGCAGCGTGAGCAGCACCAGGAGTATGGCATCGCGTCGCAGCGTCGCCTTGCTGGCGCTGGCATGAGTGCGACTGGTGATGGCTATCACCGAGGCGCCCAGCAGACCCCACGTCAGAAACGTCTCCTGTGTGGCTGCGGTCCACGTATTCGAGTTCACCAGAAACTCGTCAAAGTCGCTGGCTGCAAACACGTTCTGAAAGGAGCAGAAATAAAGGGGATATTGAACTTGGACTATAGCTTGAGTCTGGCAGACGCACCTGTAAGCTGGCTGGATCCACGACGCTGACAAACTTGCCGGTAACAGCGATGAGGGCCAGCAATGGCAATGTGTTGATCAGATAGGTCAACTTGCCCAGCGACTTCAGGCCCTTGCAGAGTATGAGGAAGACGGCCGCCCAGATGAGCGCCAAGTAGAACGCCAGCTGCTGGAGAGAAGCGAGATTAGCCGATTATGGATAGACTGGACACCGGACTTGAGACTACCTACCCGATCATTGACATGGAAGCGCATGCCGCTGGCATCCGGATGCTTGGCCAGATGCAGTCGCTGGAGCACCACAATATTGAAATATTCGGCAACCGTGTGGGTCAGATTGCCCGTATCGTTGGCCGCATCGTAGCGATAGGGAAAGGCCAGCTCCTGCCAGCGATAAACGTTGCGCGTGGGCGTTGGGAACACATCGCGCAAATAGACAAGAATCCAGG